AGAGAGAGAGAGAGAGAGAGAGGAATCATGACATTGTAGGATCTAATATACTAAGGAGTCTACTGTTTGCCAGTAAAGCTCTATAATGTGAAATAATCTGTAACTTCGCTGAGGCACTAATTAAAATCCCTGTGGTAGCAGAGCACATGACTCAGAGTCCTACCATCCAGCATCTACATGTTCACCCAACTTTTCTATCTTTTCTTCTGACTCAGAGCCACTCATTTAGATTCTAAGGGAGTCACCTCACTTACATTTTTTAATTTTTTTTATAGTGAAGGGGAAATTATATGTTGTAGAGAAGTACATAGTTCAGGATGTTTGCAAAGAACTATTCCTTTTTGGAAACTGCGGGTGCCTTCAGTTCTGACTCTATGACCCTCCTAGGTGACCGGGAGAGATGTGTCCTGCTCTTTGACCAACACAAACTTCTGTGCTTCACGCTACTCCGATATCTGGATTGCTCTCGTTTTGGGGTGTAAGGTTGGTAATCATACCTCCTTGGGTGCCATTTATTTGTCACAAACAAAATGGATTTGAAGAGATAATTATAGAAATGTAGCAAGATATATTAATTAATAATGTCCCCAAAGAATCTTGGACTCAAAGGAGACCTTGTATAAATCTCAAAGCCGTGACCCTTTTTATTTCTCTACTTTTTATGTTTGCAGAGTCACTTTTCCAACCCTTTGGACTTATTCAGTCTTCCCCTGTGTTAGCCCATTTCCGGCCCTTGTGACAAAATACCTAAGAATAACTTAAAGGAAAAAAGTTTTATTTTGGCTCACAGTTTTGGAGGTTTCAGTCAATGTTTAATTGGCTCTGTGGTTTCTGGGTTGGTGGCAAGGAAGAAAGGTCATGGCAGAAGGGTGTGGTAAAGGAAAACGCCTCACCTTATGGCAGCCAGAAACAAGATAGTCTTCACAGCCCTGTCCCCGGTGACCTGCTTCATCCAGTTGGCCCCCACCTACTGAGTATCCAACATCTCCCAATAGTGCCATCAAATCGTGAATCCATCAGCAGTTACTCATGATCCAGTCACCTTCCAAAAGCCCCTCCTCTGAACACATGGGCCTTTGGAGGGATGTGTTAGATCCAAATGATAATATCCTTCAAATCATCTGGGTTTACCCACTGTATCTCCACAGTTTTGCAGTCCAGCTTTTAAGTTCATTTGGCAATATACTGTTCTGTGAGTCTCCTCTGCAAGGATCATTATGAGGAAATATTCTACCTGGCTTCATTTTGTCTCCAGGTGCCCTTACAAGTTTCTTGTCTCTTTCTTTAAGAATTGGGTCACAGATCCTGCTGCCTTTTGCACACCCCACTTTCTCTGGTTGGGAGAAGATCTGGCCCTAAGGCAGACAGCAACATGCACAGTGCCTTTGGAGTGTGTCCAAGTCCCTCAAAGTATCTTCCGTAGTGCCACAGATCTCCTGGCCTCAGACTCGTTTGTCTCCATGAGAGGAACAAACGTAAGGTCCTGTTTCCTGAAGGCAGGACACCAAGGGGGTGTCCTCAGAACAGACCCTCTCTCAGCAGATTTCCTGCTTAGAAGGACAGAGAACTGGCTCCAAGGGTGTAGGACAGGCCTATTACATGAGACTGCTGCTGAGTGCTGGGGTGGAGAGGCCTGGGCAACTGACTGTTAGAAGATTTTGTAGCAACGGTGACCTTTAAAGGTAACCTTCACTTACTGCACCACTAGGAAAATGTTGGAGGTGGTTACTTCTGAGGGACAGTCCGGGGATGGGCAGGCTGGGCCAGAGAAATAGTGCTTTTTCACTATGGGCATATATTACTTTGACCGAAATACTTTTTAAAAACGGGTCCAGGAAATGACCAGCTCTTGATCTCTTGTATCTTTCTAGAGGTGAGGGAAAAAAGCCTCAGAATGTAAAGAATTCTGACCCAGCCCCTTCCTCACGGACCACGGGCCTCCTTTAACTTCTTGGAGCCTTGATTCCCTCATTTGTGAAATAGGAACAATGATGAGTCCCACTCAGAGCTGTGCTGAGTTACAAAAGAGTCAAAGCACGTTAAGAGATTTCAGCCTCTCCCAGCCCAGAGCGGGAGCCCAGTTAGTAGATAAATAGTTAGATTCGTGTTTCAGTTGTTCTTCCATTGCCTCTGGACAAATCTGAGCAACCCAGTGCCTCTCCCAGGCCCCTGGAGCTCCTTGCCCTCCCCAGCCCCTGAACTAGCAACGCACCGTGTAACACACCTTGGTTGTCTTTTGTGTGCTCCTATCTGTACTTTGTATCACTGTACTATTGTTCAGGAGGATGAAGGAACAAAGGAGGAAGAGTACTGGTCCCTGCGTGGGCAGCGAGGGGCTTGTGAGAAGGGCACCAGTCTATACATGGAGTTCTGGGACCCCTGTCCGAGCCTGTCACCTCCCCTACCCTAACAGTGGGTCACACGTGACACCCTCAAACCAGAGCCACTGATGGGCAGCGGCTTTACTCACACCACTTCCCTTCTAGCGAGAGTTTAATGGAATTAAAACATTTTATTAGAAGCATATAGAAACATTTCAGATTCACAGTATTAACTTTATGCCCCTTTGACACAAGCCTCCTGATAGTATCCGTTACTCAAATGTCAGGCCCCCTGACCTCCTGACTGCTATGACCTCTGGTCATTGGGAATCTCAGGATGACCGAGTGCAGCCCTTTGGCGCCACGTGGGGCACTGGGCATTAGGAGTACCTGGGAGGCAGTTTTCCTGTGCTGACTTCTTTCCTCCTGGCTCACTGGTGCTTGAGAAATTGTCTCTAGGGCCACCCTGATGGGTGGATCCCTGTGGTTTCAGGGCCCTGGAAGAGTCCTCCTGATGCCTGGCCATCCTATCGTGATTCTCCTGACCACACCGTTCCCAGTCCCAGCTTAGTCTCCCAGCATCTTCACATCTGTGTTATAGACATGAGTGTGCCCGTACTTCCCGAAGGAAGCCTCCACATCAGACTGGGTACTGCAAACCCAGGACCATGACTTACTCTCTATCGTACCAGTTCCTCACCTCATCTGGTGTAGCATGCAGTTAGGCCAGTGTATGTTGAACCTACGTATTATTGATTAAACCTTTGATTTCTGTGTATATGCAGCTCCTTCTGGCAAAAACTCACAAAGTTGTGTTTTTCTCTCCTTAGCACAGGCAAAAGCAGTAGAACAGTTTATGTCCATGGGAAGAAGAGAGCACTGACCTTGTGGTGGTGCAGGCACTGTCACAAAGCAGGGAACACCTAGATGGAGCGACTGTGGCCTGGGCCTGCCTCTGCTCTTGCCTAGGCCCCAGCCTGCCTCTTTCCCACCCTCCATCTCCCCTAAGTCCAGCCACAGAGAGCCACGGCCAGCCCACAGAGCTTCTCTGTGAACTGGGACGGCCTCCCTCCCAGGCAGGCGCAGAACAGAGGGTGCCTTTGGGCAGATTAGAGCCTCTCCCAGCCCACTGGCACTGCCTGTGGTGACACGCAGACCACAGGTCACTGCCAGCTCCCTGTGCCCCTCAGCTCTGCACAGAACAAAACCACAGCAGCAGCAGGAGGTGCCCCTGCCTTCCCAGTGCCCATCACCCCTGGTGCGGAGTGCCATTCCCCGGTGGGAGCCTCTTCTTTGTCCCAGAAGAGTCTTGCATGATGGCTGACTTGCTGACGTCTGGTGAGCTAATTCTTAGTGAAGGTGAAGGCGAGGAAAGTAACATTTATCAAGGCCCAATTATGTATGAGATGTGATTGAAAACTATGGTGAATGTTAAAAAATTTTTTTTAATTTCTTACAGTAAAAGACATATGGCCATGAATCTTCCTCAAACTGTTCCCCAAACTTCAAACACACTCATCCCATCGTCCTTACCACTTTCTGAAGCAGCTCTGGCAGTCCTCTCTCATGAGTCTGTAGTTATGCCGTCACACCTGCCTCGATGTCCTGAATCGACTCAAAACACTCACCTTTCATGGTTCATTCTGACTTTGGAGAAGAACCAGAAGTCGCACAGGGCCAGACTCAGTGACTAAGGTGGATAAGGACACCCCTTTACATTTTTATTTGACATAAATTGCTGTAACGTTTGTTCAACTAGGTGTGATCAAAAACTTGGTGATGGCTTCACTTAAAATATCTATGACAATGAAAGACATTCATCTTCTCAAAATTCTCCCTTTCACTTTGAACATATTTATCCCCTTAGCATCACCCTCAATGTATCTTTTTGCTATGATAATGTTTTTAAGTGAAAACATTCACTGTGTATTTCAATCACTCCTTGTTCCAGGCGTGGCCCTGGTTTACAGATGGGGCCGTCGCTCCTCCCTGCTGCTCTTGGAGCTGTTCCCCCATTTCTGCCCTTGGTCCCTCTCCACTGCAGGGGCTGCTCCTGCTGTGTGGCGCCTACCTGGCTGGCCTGACAGACCATGTCAGTGCTCCTCCTGTGAACCAGTCCTTCACCATCATGGTTGGGGTCAACCTGCTGGTCCTGGCTGCTGGGCTGCTTTTTGTGGTCACCAGATACTTGCACTCCTGGCCCAACCTGGTCTTTGGACTCACAACTGGAGGCATCTTTGTTTGCACAACCACAGTCAACTGCTCCATCTTCATTCCCCAGGTACGCTCCAGGGAGGATTTTGCCTGGCCAGACTTCTTAGGCATTCTAGAGTTTTCACAGGGGCTGATACGTTTCTCATTTTGTTTTCTACTGCTGCCTTTCCATGCCATGTAGTGGACAGTGAACAGGAAGAAAGGATCCCCTGTTCTTCCTCTCTTCCAGGTATCCGTTCCCCGCAGGGAACCTCACGTAGATGTCTTTCCAGCCGCTGTCCTCTCTGCTTTACTCCTTCCAAATCTCCCCGCATCTCCGTAATGTTACTTCTTTGGCTCACCTGGGAGGGAGGAGCCTTTCTTTCGTTCCAGTTTGGGATCGCAGATTCACAAAGAAAAACCTGAAAATGTGTGATTTAAAATGCTTTTCCTGTCTTCTTATTAAAAGAAATGATAAAATGTTCCTCCTCTTTTTACAACAAGGAGAAATAAAAATGATTTTCATATTATGGGGATTAAGAAAAAGAAAATCAAATAGAGGAGGGAGAAGTAGAACTATCCAGAAGGTAGAGGAAGAGCGGGAGTTAGAAGGAAGGAGAAGGAATCCATAGGGTGAAAGGAAATTGGTGTGAAACTGTGCTTGCTGTGCCCAAGGGCCACTGAGCCACTCCTGCACAAGTAATGAAGTTGGCGCTGGGCACTTTTCCTCCTGGATCCTAGCAGCCCTTTCCCATTTGCCCTGTACCTTTCAACTGAGGCCGGGCAAGTACTTGAAGGAGCAGAACTTCGAAAGGGATAGATCTGTCTTTTCCTGGCTTCAGTTGCTGCCTTTGCCCGGACAAGCTCCCAGCTAACGGTGAGCTCCCTTCAGGGACACAGGGACAGGAGCCAGCGGTCTTAACCCACACCCCCATTTATGTAAGAAAACGGAGTCCAGACGTAGCTGGTACCAACCTGGTGGGCTAGGCATGCGAGTAGTTTTTGTTTGTGTTTGTGTTTTGAAATGCTGGGGGTAGAACCCAGTGGCACTCTACTGCCCTGCTGTACCCCTAGCTCCTTTTATTTTTTGAAACAGGGTCTTGTTAAGTTGACCAGGCTGAGCTCAAACTTCTGATTCTTCTTCTCATCTTCTCAAGGAGCCGTGGCCCCAGGCCGCGCAAAGTACTTTGTTATTTCCTGCCAGTTTCCCTTTTCTCCCCGCCCCCAGGCCTCTGTTCCCACACACACTGCAGCCTCCCCGGGACCATGAACTGCTCCTTCATGTGGGGTGAGCCTGGCACTTCCGCCTTGGCCATGGAGGTTGCTGTGTGTTGATGTGTGGGAAGAGGACGGTGCTGGCACAGAGCTGGCGTGGGCCCTTTACACTTCTTCCTGTTCAGAGATTCTTATTAAAGTGTTCAGCAGACTAAACAAACAGCAAAACATCAGCAGCATTAGAATCCCAGGATGGGTCTTGCATCTGTGTCAGGAACCAGGGGCATTTTTGCTGGCTCTTAGTGTCATAAGAACTAGATTGACGATGGGCATGGTGGTTGCGTGCCTGTGACTCTAGCACTCAGAGGCTGAGTCAAGAGGGTCCCCAGCTGGAGCCCACCCTGGGCAACTTAGTGACTTAGCAAAATCCTGCCTCAAAATAAGAAAAAATAAAAAGGGCTTGGGATGTATCTCAGTGCAGAGGCTCTGGATCCAATCCCTAGTTCTGAAAAAAAATTAGATTGAAGGAAACTGGTGACAGCTGAGTCTACAGCAAACTCAGGCTCTGAAAAGCAAGGGCTGTTCCCTGGGAGGAAGGAGAAATGGAGGAAAAAATGAATTCTCCTCTTAGGCCCTGTGGTCAACATTATCGACTGGCGAACCTTGTTGCCAGCAACTCCTTTTTACCTTGCTTATCTCCTGCTGTTTAGCCCAAAAGAGCTAAACATTTGCTTTGCCTACCTCCGTATAGCTAAAGGTGTCCTGTGACACTGTTTGGAGTGCTGGAGTTTTTCTGAGAGGTCTCTGAGAAAGCTTTTACTTTCCTGGGGGGAAAAAGTGGTAAGCATGACTGGCATGCTCCTTTTATCTTCTTTCTGCCTTGGACATATGTGATATGTGGAGGAATGGCAGCCATTTTGTGACCATGAGGGAAAAACTAATATTATACTAGGAAAATATAGCTCTTCCCATGTAATACCTCCATCTGAAAGTATCGAGAACAGCTTCCTCCAGAAAGTGGCCCTGGCCTGTTTCCTCTCCACCCTTGCCTCACCATTGCCCCCTTGCAGCACAAGCCCAGGCACCCCGGCTTTGGGTCCTCTACCTCTAGGACCCAAATGGCATCTCAGTGCACCCTCTTCTGCCAGCCACACTGCAGGGGGACTCACAGTTCACAGTCTGACTTTGGGGTTGTAACTGAGCAGCAGTTCTTTGTTTGTGGAAGTAGCAGGGGAAGGATTCCAGGCACAGGAAGTGCGCACGTGGACAGCGCTGCCTTCTTCCCTTCTCCCTGCTGCACTCCCCCTTTCCTCCTGGCTCTCGCGAGCTTCCTTCCTCTTACTTTAGCTCTCTTCTTATATCTTCTCTCTCATGCTTTTTCTCATGATGTAGAATGAAAAAGTGTAATCTCCTGTATTTTACATCTAGGAAGTACATTTTTTGTTTGTTTGTTTGTTTGCTTGCTGGAGGTGGTACTGGGGATGGAATCCAGGGCCTTCACACTGAGCTACATGCCTAGCCATTTTTTAAAATTTTTAAAAAATGTTGACACAAGTTTCACTAAGTTGCCCAAGGTGGGCTCAAATGTGTGATCCTCTTGCTGAGGTAGGGGGAATAAATGTCACCCCCAATCTGTTGGGTGTCAGACACTCTGAGTTCATCATTTTCCCCAAAGTTGAAGAATGAATTCTAAGGAGGTTAAGAACAGGAAAATTTTATTGAGAATTAGCTCCCGAGAGACAAGAGGGGACCTGAAACTGGGTTGCCCACTTCTCAAAGGAAGTTTAATAGAACGGAATCACAAGGTGCGTACAACTTCGGTCAAAACTGTGATTGACCAATAAGATTGCAAGAAAAGCTGCTTAGGTAATATCGATCCAATGGGGGATCGGGTCATGTAGCAAGTGTACACGGAAAGAGCAAGGACCTTTTTAGGCAGGGATGGACGGAGGGTCCTGATCATCCACCTGGGTGATGTCTGTCTAGACTTTATTGGACCAATCATAGTATATGACTTATCTGTTGGGAAAGCACGTGGGCCTGGTCTTTCTGTCTTTACCTTCAGGCCTGGCCTTCAACAGAAGTGGCTCCAGCCACAGTTGTAATGTGCTTTCATCCTCTGCACCGACTCTCACAAGGTCCCAGCCCTGTCTGACTGCCTATATTTCCACCTAACTTAGCCATCCATACTTCTGCCTCAGCCTCCCAGAGTGCAGTTCTTTCTTAAAATACAATAATTATGGGGTTTGTCCCTCTTTGGCTCAGAGGTCTTCCGTAGAATTCTTCTGAGACTTGTATCTCCTGGACAATAACAAAGCTGAGTAAATTTGGAAATGAATATAGGAGAGCTGCAGGGCAGATAGGGTAGTGATTCGCAACAAGGTGGGTTCCTTGGCCCCTGAACTTTCAGACTGCTGATGGGGCTTGATGAGAGCAAAGGTCCAGATACCCCAAATGGCCTCTAGGCGGCGCCAGAGAGCTGGATGAAATGAACACAATGAGGCAGAGGACAGAGGAGCCTTCCAGGCCTTACTCAGGAAATGCCAAAGTGTTTATGCCAAGTGCTGAGGTCATCACCAGCAATCAGCCCGCCTCTGCCTTTGTGACTTCAGTTCGACCCACCCGACTCCACCTCTCCCTCTGAGAGTCAGGCAGGTCCTGAGGTAGGACAGGGTTTCCCCCTTGGTGCCCCAGGGGTCTCTTCTGCCCCTCCATGAGGAGGACCCTTGGGACTTTCTATTCTGCTTTCTAGATGTCTGTCTGTGTCCCAACAGCCCTATGAGACCGCGGAGCTTTTTAAAGAAAAGCTTCCTTCACGGACTCACATTTGCCTCTGCCCGTCTCTCAGTAGCTGGGTGCAGGCAATGAAAGACGTGGCCCCACCTGCGGTCTGGGCGATCAGACACGAAAGGCATTAAAAGCCTGTGCCAGGTGCTTTGGTCGCCTGGCCCCAACCTCCCTAGGAAAGGGCAGCAAATGGGGCATCTAGGGTCAGTCTTAAGGAGAAGTAAGAGTTCACTGAGCAGACGAGGAAGGACAGTGGGTGGCATTTCAGGCGGGACTGTGCCACAACCTGGGGAGAGGTGGGAGAGTGCGCTGCACGTGTGGGGAACACCAGTCTTTGCTGATTTGAAGCACAAATAGAAACCAGCGGAGAGGGAGGAGGTGACAGAACCAAGCATGCCTGGGTGTGACCTGTTAAAGACTTGATTTTCACCCCACTGTAGAAGCTTCCTGTTACTGTAACAAATGACCACAAGCTTAGTGGCTTTAAACAATACCATTTTTACAATGTTGGGGGCCAGGGATCCAAAGTGAATCTTATCTGGCTAAAATAGATCATGTCAGTAGGTCTGTGTTCGCTGTGGAGACCCTAGAGGGAATTGTTTCCTTGGATTTCCAGGCACTAGAGGCCACGTGCATTCCTTGGTTCACCAGCCCTTCCTCCCCTTCTGAGCTAGCAGCATGGCATCTACAAATCTCCCTCAGTCTCTCTTCCTCTCTTTCTCCCACCATCACATCTCCTCTTCTGAGCCCCGCCTCCCTCTTATCAGGACTCTTCGATGACGCTGGGCCTACCTGCAGGACTCAGTCCCTCTCCCAGTCCTCAGTCACATGTACAAGGAAGTGTCAGAGAGTGGAGGGCCCCAGCCTGGCCTAGCACAGGCCACACAGGCTCCTGATGCCATGAAGATGTATGCTGAGGACCCCAGAAGCCTCGAGTGAGAGTATGGGACTGAGTCTGGGTTGGGATCTGGAGTCCTGCATGGGATTCATAAAGTTTGGCTCTGCTGCATTGTCTGAGTTTCGCTAATGATTGAGCAAGGAAGTCCCATGTTTTCTCTGATGCCACCCACAGATGCCTCAGCATTATTTTCCTAACCTGCCAGAGTCCCCAGCATCCCTCCCTGGATTCCTGAGGGAAAGAGAAGCTGAAACCACTGTGGTTCCTGTCACCCATATCACAGGTGTGCACCAAGTGGACAGCCCGTCGCAGAGGCCCAGAGCAGACCTGTTTGCGCCAGCTCTGCCCCAGTTGGGGGGAACCAGCATGTACCTCCACGATTGTGTTGAGGCCAGTTGCTGCTGCCCAGGAGCTTCAGTGCTCACAGGCCGTGTCCCCAGCAGTTGTTACAGATGTGCGTCTGCCGCTGGCTCTCTGGGTGGGCTTAGTCGAGTCACCCTCCTTCTACCTGACTCTTTCCTCATGTGTCAAAGAAAAAAACTATGGTCACATGTCAGACATCTGCGGTCTTCTGTCTGCTGAGTCTTAAGTGTGGATTTGGATTAGAAGCCACCAAGAGGGAACTGGGTCTTCAATAGCAGGAGACACATCTCGGTTCAGCACTTGCAAAATCAGTGAGAACAGTCCATGCGCCTAGAAAGGCTTTCATGGTATTTCAAATGTTTCCCCTAGTGACTGCTCCAGAACTCTGGCTCTCGAATTATACTCAGTTCTAGCTTCTTTTATCACTCTGCAGTGGCAGAGAAGGCTGTTCCATCTACCCCATCAGTTCTCTGGCAATTTTCAAACCTACATGACCTTAACATTCTCTGTGCTTTCTGTCCTTACCGCCTCTGAGCCCCCAGAGCAAAGTGCATTTGAAGGAGAGACTGGCTGTGCTCATGTGCACCTGTGACGGTGCCATTCCTGGGTGCTCATGGGAAAGAGAGGGAATGTATTTCTGGGCGTGTAATGAAATAAATAACATATGTTCTTTTTTTTCTAACAGCTGAAGCAATGGAAGGCATTTGAAGGGGAAAACCAAACAATCCGACGCATGGCCAGATATTTCAGCACTCCCAGCAAGAGCTTCTGTCCGCAGTTTGGGGAGGAGCAGAACTGCCATGCACGTGGCGAGAAGAGCTCCTTGGAGAGGCTGCTCACAGAGGTGAACCACACCTTCCCTGGCGGGCTCCCTGGAAGGAGCCGCAGGTTGCCCTCAACACCGTCATTGCCGGCATTCCCCTCCCCTGCTCTCCCACATCCTCACACTTCCCAGAGGAGCAAGCAAGTCCACACTCCACACTGACTACCATCCACCTCACACAATCAGTGAACAGACGAGCTCCCAGTTCCAGTGGCGGGAATGGGTGTTGATCCAAGAAACAAGCATCAGTGTGGCGAGGTTTATCAAGGAAAGAAACGAGGGTGGAAAATCAGAATAACAGGTATGAGGGGACCAGGGAACCAATCTATAGCAGTCAGAGAAGATAGCTGGACAAAAGTTGAAGGGTAAGTACAAATTGGCCAGGCAGAGGGTACAGGGAAAAGCATTCCTAGCAGAGGGAACAGCATGGAAAGGCCCTGAGTTGTAGTGGAGGCTAGCATCTTTGTGATTCATTCGTTCTTTACAGAGAGAGAGCAATGCCCTCAAGTTCAAGATTCTATGGGGCCCTACTGTCTCTTCTCCAGGTACCAACAGGAGATCTCAATTATCCATCAACCCAGAAAGTCCAGATGGTTCTGCAGGTGGGGAAGGGAACTGAACATTACCACACCCAGCAGGCCCAGGCAGCCCAGCCCTTCCTTCTTCTGTAAGCCAGAGTTGGCTGCTGTCCCAGAAAAGCGTAGCGTGGGCTTGAGGCAGCACGTGGACACATTGAGGGCCACATTCCTCAGGAGGAAGGCACAGGGCCCAGAGTATTAGTCAGTATTTTGACACTACTAAAGCACATTCCGTATTTTGTTCAGGTGCTGAGCAGGTGCTGTTTGGGAAATTGAACATTTTGGTAGTGGGACTGCCCCTAGGGTGTGATCAGTCCTCATGAGACGAGGTGTCAGGGGACACCTGCGGTCAACCACCAATGAGGCTGAGTCTGCTAGGCACCCATGGACCCTGGCCTCTGGGCTCTACCCATATTTGGGCTCCGGACCATTTTGGCCCATCTGAGTACTTCGTGTCCATTTCTTTACTATCAAGTAAACACTCAGGGCATCATTTCAAAGCCAGACTTCTCCCCACCTGCAGAGGAGTGGCCTTGCCCTTGATGCTCTGTATTCCCCCACCCTCAGCTACACAGAAGGCCAGAGACTTGGCTGGAACAGCCAACATGGTTTTCAGTTAGTCAGCTCACACCGGAACAGCCAAGCGGACTGAGTCTTTAGCCTTATGGTACCATGTGGCATATTTTGTGTATTTCTGCCACACTACTCTGTTTCCTACGCAGTGGCTGTGTCTGCTCTATGCAAACAAACGCCTTAAGTCTGAGAGGAAGAACTCTAAGGCGTACAGAGGCAGAGGTGGGAAGACGTGACCTCCCCAGTACCTGCTACCCTGGAGCACTTTTCCCAGACCAGGCCTGAGAATAGCAGCCCATCCCCAGTGTCTGTGCCCTGGCATCCGCCCCTGCCTCTTAGATAAGCACAAACCTGTCCTCCCCTGCTATGTGCGTGAGTCCTGACTCCAGCCTCCTGGTTTACCTTTCCCTGCTCTGCAGCCCCCTCTGCTCCCTAGTGCTTTCCTTTTTCCTATTACTTGGACAGGATATCGTGTTGCTCTCTCCCCTCTTTCCCTCTTGGCCAGGGGTCCCCCAGAATCTGTTAGAGGCAGTGCGTTACTGGCTACCCTGTGTGCTGGCAACAACCAGAACCTTCCATATTCTGCAGCACAGGAAGCTGGCCTGCAACTTTTATTCCTGGCACCAGAGAACAGAGAAGGTAGGTCTACTTCTGCTTGGGCCCTGCACCCTCTGGTGGACTGTGGACCTTACCTTCTCCGTGTGCCAAGAGTAACCATTAATAAGCTCATTTCCCACCAGCTGCCAGGTCGGTTTGGGTCTCACAGTGGTGGTGCCTCATACCGCACCTCTAATTAGTATCAGCCCTGGTGAACACAGAGTCCCACTTCCTTTTCAGGAAAAAGGGAAATTTACTGTTTATGTTAATCTTCTAAATCTGGCCCTGGGCAGCTTTAGATGTTTCATTTGCTGGGAGAAGAGTATTCTTCCCAGCAGAAGGCTTTTACTATTTTCCAATACTCAAAGGAATTTGTGGCTAAGGCGCAAAAAGGCATCATCCAGATTTCACCCAAGGGAGAGTTGTCATCAGCTAATGGCTTTTTCTTGACTCAGTGAGGCAGTAGTGGCCTCTGAGGCATAGTAGGCTTCAGGAGCAGGGGCTAGTGGAGGAGGGAAGAGCGTGGGGCCCCCTGTGCAGCCATCACAGTCACCCTGAGAGATTCTCAGAGGGAGTGGGAGACACATCCCAGACACTAGCAGCACACAGCACATCCCAGGCACCAGGCAGAGCCAGATGTTGCCCTGTTACTCATCCTCTCTGCTCCTGGTGGACCTTTGATCGTCTGCACTCACCAGGAAATACCCAGATCTTACTTACTGCTCTGCTGTCAGGACAGGAAGTCAGGGTAGGCAGGTGCTCAGCTGAAAGTCCCTTCCGCTGAGTCACCAGTCCCTCATTGCCCCTGGCCTTTCTCCTGCTGGTAAGGAAGTAGACTAGACCAGAGTGAAATGGGGAGGATGTAACCTAGCAGAAACACCTTTTCTGCTTACCCATGGGAGCAGTGGGTCTGCCTGCCATCCCTGCCTGATTATGGGTCTGTTTCCATTCAGTTACCGCTCCCTTACAGGATCATTTCTGAGCAACTCTTCCATGTAAACTTGAGAAGTAACCACAGCTTGGGCAACTTATATTAGTTATCCTAAACAAAGGAACTTCCTTTTGTTTCTAGGGCATGGTAGATGGCCGTCTAAATGCTCATCCTTAGCCTCTTACCCAACAAAAAAGTGACATGTGGTTATCAGACAGCCCTTCCTAGAACACAGTCCTTCTCCAAACTCTTGATCCGGTGCCATCTGCCCCAAGACCATCTGTTCCCCAGGAAGACCTCAGGCTTGCTCCTCTGCCTTTGAGCATTGGGACTTCCAAGGACAGACAGACAGACAGACAGTCTGAGGTGTGCAACCCACTGCCACACCACAGCAGATATCCCGGGTCCAGCCATGCCTTGCACACCCACCGCCGATACTCCTGCTCCCACTTCCTGCCCCCACAGCCTTGCAGCTAGGATGGGCACACCTCTGCAGCTGTCACCTGCCAGTTGTCCTGGTCACAGCCTGTTTATCCGCTGACACCCGTGCAGCAGGTGGGCAGCTCAGCTGCAGAACTGCCCCAACCTCATTCACCTCGTGGGCTCCATTCTACAGCGATTGGCCCAATATTTTTGTTTGTGTGTCTAAAGTTCCTACAGTAATTATGGTGTGCATACTTTGTCAGGAGATACTGACAATTGACATTGCCAGATGGTAGCTTTGGCTTTTCGCCCCCAGAGGCCCGGCTGGGGGAGGCGATGACACAAACCCAAGATTCTCATTGGCCCCTCCTGGCTCCAGTCTGATTTGTTTGGATCAGGAATCTCCAGCCTTCTCCCTGTTTTGCCATTCTCTAGACTGTTTAGCAAGAGGAAAAATATTTGTTTCCCCACTTGTTTGTCCCCTAGAGACGTGCTTCAGATTCTTCTGTAGTTTGCAGAAGTATGAGCACCCTGCAGTAGACTTTCCCAAATGCTGCCCAGGCTGGTGTCTTGCAGAGTGATCCAGTCCTGTCAGCTCTAGGGGAGGCAACAGGATGCCGCAGCCCCCAGCAGCAGCTAGGGGGCCTCCTCCCTCCCGCAGCGAGGTGGAAGGGGAAGATGGAGAGCATAGCAACCATATTAGGCACCACATGTCATCTATGCTAAGTGCTTTGTGTATCTCTACCCTTTTCATCGACTGCCTCAGGGCCCAAGGTCACCAGCACGTGTGGAGAAGAACTAGGATTTAAACCAACATCTTGCAGTGCCACACTTGACCACCACGAGAGGCAGTGTGGAACTCTTAGCATCTTTTATGGACAGATTTGCTTTTATTTTACAGAAAATTGCTGTGATTGAAAGCCTGCAGGAGCAGGTAAACAATGCCAAAGAAAAGCTTGTGAGGCTGATGTCTGCTGAGTGTGCCTGTGATTCCCTGGAATGGGCTGTCCCACCTACTTCCTACCAGGGCGAGGATGTCCCAGCTGTAGCCTCCGCCCATGGCCTGGTGCCGGGACCCTCAGAGTGCCCCTCTGCTCCACAGAAAGACCCTGATACAGCTGCCCAGGACTCCCGTTGCACCTCTGGGCCCTCTGCATGCATGCAAAGCCCCCAGGCCCCTGGAAGGAACACCAGCCCCTCCCCAGGCCTGAAGAAGACACCTGACTTGAGAGACTTCTCTGATCACCTAGACCTGACTAATAGCCAGAAGCCACAGGCTGAGCAGAGTTCACAAAGAGGAGACCAGGGACCCATGGCCCCCAGCAAGAGTCTTGTCCCAGGCAGAGGGGCCTCAGATCCACAGAGACAGAGGCAGAGCTCAGAAGAGCCCCCAGAGAGGCTCCCTAGGGTCAGTTCCGTGGTCAGGGAAAAACTTCAGGAAGTCATACAAGAGCTGGGCCTGGGCCCTGGGGCTCCACTTCCCAATTTTCTGTCTTGTCCCCAGCAGCCCTGGAAGGGCAGTGCTGCCCACAGCCCACAGAAGATGCCAGTCTCCAAGGAGCTGGGCTCCAGCCCATACATGGTGAGGAGGAGGCGGGCGACTCAGCGGGCTCGCTCACACTTTCCTGGCTCTGTGCCCTTCTACGTGGGGCATCGGGCAGATCAGACTCTTTCTGGAACACACAGTGGGCTGAATGCACAGAGTGGGGACAGCCCAGGGCTGGGTCACCAAACCGCTGATTGTAAGGCACAAAGGCCCTCTCCCAGGAAGCCTTTGCTTCTCCCAGAACCTCAAGAGAAGTTGGGCTCCTCAGTGGGCAGCAAGCAAGACCAGGCTGAGCCCCAGGGGGCCAGGGCTGGTAGTGCAGCCTTTCTTCGCCAGCCTTCAGCTGCTCCCTGGGCACAGAGTCCCACTGCCCCATGCCCAGCCACCTCGCCAGACCTGCCTGAGCAGCAGCAGCAGCTTCAGCCCCCAGGGCCCCCTGGCCACCCCTCCCTGTCTTCTCAGTGTAACTACCTCGACACTGAGTCCAGCAGCTCAGATGAGCCCTTCTGCCGCTGCCACAGGCCCTACTGTGAATTCTGCTTCCAGAGCTCCTCGGACTCCCACGACAGTAGCACATCAGACACTGACCCTGAACCTGCTATGCGACCCACCTCCTGGGACAAGCTGTGTGCTGGCTCCAAGCCCATTGTGAACTTCAAAGATGACTTGAAACCCACCCTGGTGTGAAAAGCAGCAGGCTCGATCTGGCTGAGGACGTCAGTCCAGGCTGAGCTGAAGCAAGGCCTTTGGGAGGACGGCAAAGGTCTGGTCGCTGGGGAACCCACAGGGCCCTGCACTTGACCAGCTCTGACCACGTTCCAGCTGTGCTCACTGTGTAACTCTGAGCACTTCCCCAGTTATAAAAAGCGGGGTATTGCCTGTCTCGCTACTACCTCATAGCATTACTGTCAGTGAATCCAGTTGAGTGACTATAAAAAATACTGACTCCTTGAATTAAAGGTGCTAAATGAGCATACAGAGTTTTCTTTCTAGGTCAGGATGCATCCTCCAAGACTTAATGTATACCAGTGGATGGACAGATGGACAGAACGATGGAGGATGAACAGGAGATTTCTGCAGAACCTAAACTGTGGGCTGTGACCCGTGAAGCTGGCCTTCTGGTGGGCAGACCTCCCAGGAACACAGATCTCTTACATTCATGGTCCTACCACTTCTAGAATGGGTGATCTTTTTCTACTGATATTATAAACAGTGTCATGCCTGTGCTCCAGCTTCGGCCAGCTCCCCTGCCCCCGCCTGCCTCACTATCCCCTGAGACAGTCGGATCCTTTGTGCCCAACCCTATTCAGACCTCTCCTGTGCTCGCTCAAACTGTCTCCTGGCCATGTGGCCCATCCCCGTGGGTCTCCCAGTGGCACGGTGTTGTGCTGGGAGAATGTGAGGATTGGGGTGGGAAGGATCTGATGGTGCTTTCAGTGCCATTGGGGTAACGTGACCAAACCTGGAGAAAACTGGGGAGATGGGAGAAGGGAGTGATAGCGCAAGAAAGCAGACAGGTTGTGAACGTTTCACTTGAATTGGCTCTGCACTTGGCAAGACCAAAGGTCAATAATTCAAGGGCCGGGGGTTTAGCTTAGTAGTGCTGCCACCTGCCTCGCAAGCGTAAGGTCCCGAGTTCGATCCCTGGCACCCCCCCAAAAAAGTCAGCAATTCTTAGGATAACTGTGATTTTTAACTGTGTTATTTTTATAGATAGGAATCTGAGGCTTAGAGACTAAGGTCACTTCCCCAGTATCACACTGCCAGAGATGGAAAGTTTGCACACAGCTCCTGGGACTCTGGGCTGGTGGACTTCCTCGGGTTGGATCTCTTCACTGTTCCAGAGGCAGTGAGGCTGAGCAGGCAGACAGTAAAGGAAGGGTGATGTGAGACGGCTGTGAGGTGTTCACCCTACAGCCTGGGCTAATAAATCTGGGCTCCTGGCCTCCACTTCCTCCCTGCACCGTCCAGGAGTGGGGCAGTTAGTAAGGATGAGTGGCTCGCCCTCTGTCCAAAGCCACAGGGAGAGCAAGCTGGGCTCGCTTTGGTTATCGTTGAGCTGGTTGTCATGTACAGGCTCCTCCCACCCCATCTGGGTGTGCGTCTGTGAGTGTGCTCAGGTTTGGGTGAAGGAGTCTGGGCCTGGGAGGGGGGCGTTTGGCACTAAGTTTTTCACAGATTTATCAGACTTTCAAGTCTGATGATACCTTGTGAACCTCCAGATGCTAAACCAGGAGGTGCTTCTGTCTACTTTCAAATACAGATTTCACAATTTATTCCACAAGTGGGTTTGTCATCTCTGCATGTGTTGTTTGTATGCCATACCTTAATAAAAGAGATCCGACTCCTAAGGCAAGTGTCTTCTGCAATTGTAGTCTTGGTTTGGGGAGCAGGGACCTTAGGAAGACTGAGCACCCAAAGAAGCAAAAACATACAGGATATCAGAGTCATCTCAGGGTTCCCCAGGGTTCCAGGCACATCTGTTGCCGAACTTCCATTTGTACCGGATTTTTCTGTAGTCTCTGGGTACAGCAACCTCTGCCAGAAACACTTCCACTAATGGAAAGAAGCAATCTTGGAGACCCTAGACGCCTCCGAACCACTGAGGGTCCTGTGGCTGGGGTTCACCTCCTCCAGCTCCCCTCTTCCAGGTTCCACCAGTAGCACTTACTGCTTGTCAGTAAGGCACCTGCAAGCTCAGCCTGACCACTCTTCGGGGTTTCTCCCCCTATCTGCTTTTAGACCCTCAGTCTCAGCCTTTCCACATTCCTGTCCTCTTTCTGGCTAGAATTTCATCCCCCATTCTGTGCACCTGGTGAGTTATTCGCCCTTCAGGACTCAGGTGGAGCACACGTTTGCTCTTTGGCCTTTCATGAGCATCCCAAATAAAACTGATCCGCTGGTTAAATTAGGATCATGTTTGGGACACAGCTGTGTAAAGGCTTCTACTATCCACTCCATCTACTGTGACTTTGTAAGCTGTGCTAGACCTGGTGGGAAAGAGGGAGTCTCTCCCAAATACTCCTGACAGACATATCATTTGCTTCAAAAACTATGTGCCCAGTACCATGTCTGCCTGTCTCCCAGTCTGCCATTGACTGTATACACCACAACCTCTTCTCCTTGCCAGCTCCTTTCCTAATGTTTTCAGCTCTTGAAGGGATTTATGTGCCATGGCTTTTGGCATGCTCTTGGTTATGCGCTTGAAGGAGGGGCTGTAAATTGTGCAGAGGAATCTTGGAGATGTAAACATTGCCTCTGCCACCATCATCCCAGCTCTGTCCCTGTGGGTCCTGAGCAGGGCATGCAGCCAGGCCCAATCCTGACCCCTGTGTGTGCTCTTTGATGATTGAAAATCTTAGGGTTGGAAGTGTGCATCCTGATAGTAAAGTCTGTCTCTGTCTTCTGGCCGTTCCCAAAACTTCTTTCCTGAAAGGATCATCTTGACCTTACTGGAGTTCATAAAGGAGGGGAAAAGCATCACTTGTAGGAGGCATGTTTTTATAGTGCCATATCACTTTGGCAATAACCAAGAGAAAAGTCAATGCACATATTCTTCAGAGCATTCTATTTAGTGTGTCTCCTCCACAGAGTCCATGTCTGTCCCTCTTCCAAGTACCCGTCTGCATGTCTTGGGACCAGACTTGCAAGGAAACAAGAGACAGAGACCCTACCCTGGGGCTAGAACAGAGCATCAAAACAGAGATGGGGTCCTCTTGTTTCTCTGCCTTTCAAGGAGTAGAAAAAGAAATGAAACATCACTGCCACACCTAAAAGTAGCTGAATTCAGAAAATGACAGTGTTTTAAGTCTCTTGGGGGAAGGTGGGGTGAGGTGATAGAGTTAATAGAAAAGAGACAAGATAGTTCTGTTGATGATCTTAAACATGCCTTGGGAACAACTGGCTTGTTCTTGGGTAGTAAGCAGTATTAGTAGAAGGACATCTGTCCATCTCGGTCATTCTCACCTTCCTGAGCCCCTTCTGTCCAAAGATTCCCAAAGTTGTTCCTCCACCCACTCTGGCTGCTGCTCCTCCCCTAGGAACAACAGGGGGGGTCTCTGTTATGAGAGGGTCTGACGCACCCTGGGGTTGAGGAGGCTGAGAGCAGAGAGCTCTTGTCCTCAGCCTTGCTGTCCCAACCTCTGGTACCTATCTCATTTCTCTCTCTCTCTCTCTCTCTCTCTCTCTCTCTCTCTCTCTCTCTGTCTCTCTTTCTCAAATTTTTGATCTTAACATCCCCAACCAAATTGCACTGGAATAAGGGAAGGTCTTAGGATGTTTACTCCTTGGGTCAGAGAGAGACAGGAAATGCCAGCATCACAAGGCAAAACAGCATGTGTGCTTCGCAAATCTGGGTCAGGGTTTCTTTCCCAGGACATGGGGCCTCAGAGAACAAGTACTTAGGAGAGGCCCTGGAGAGATCAGTAGGTGATTGAGAGAAAAGAAAATGGATAGGGAAACAAAGAAAATGGAAGAAACACAAGTCTGAAGAACAGGGAGAAGCAAGAAGGAGGTGTGGTATAGGATGGTTCCAAGCTCGGTGAGTACACATTTCTTGGCAATTGCTTCTGTGTAAATAAATGTGTTGTTTTCCATTTTGAGTTGAAAGATGATAAAGCTCTCTTCTGTGAAGAAAAGCAGAGGTACCTTTGGTGGGCGTGTGACTGTAAAGTCATTTCTCCTTTCCCTACTGAATTGAGTTCATCCATCCCAAATTGTGTTATAATGACCTTGGTGCCCCCCACATCCAGCACTGTGTGGCACATGGCTGTGCCTCTATAAACATCTGTCAAACAAATCGAGGAAAGAGGGATAGCCTACCCTAACCATCGTAAGGTGACCCAGTGAGGTGGCTCACAGAAGATTACCTGGGAAGCAGGGCCTGTGCATCTCATCTGCTCACATGGGGAACAGAGATGTTGCTGGTTCACCCCAGTTTAGATCCTGCATGATATCTCTACCCTTCGTCAAGAGAAGACGCTTTAGATAGGCTCTCTTCTTTATTAATTTTGGGGCAATAATTTTCTGTTCTCACTGCAGTGCCTGGGCTTCAAATCACTCACATGTCTGTGTGGTTTTCAACAAGTTGTATAATCTCTTTATGACTCGTTTCACAAGCTGTAGACCTTTCTTCATCAGGTTCTCATGAAAGCTAAATGAGTTAATATGTAAACTGTCTTGGGCTGTCTCTTACATGTAGCAGGCATTATAATGTTACATAAAAACAAGTAGATGGAATGTCTTTGAAAGGTGTTTGGAAATATCCTTACATACAGAAGTCCTCTTGATGTGTTCTTGCTATCTACCTACACTTCCCATCCGTGCCGTCAGTTTGTCCCTATGGAATAGATCTGGTAAACTGAGGATGACCCTTTGGTTTGGCCCATTTTCAGGCAGCAGAATTTTCTCCTAAGCCCTTTTCAGCCAAGCGCACTACATTCAGGGGCACATCCACCTGCAGCACTTAGATGCCAGGTGGGGGCCAAAGGAGAGGTGTCACTGAAAAGTGAGGAAATCTGACTTTTCCCTTTAGGATACAGCCCAGAGACACAAAGAATTCTTTGTAGAAGTGTTATACATTGTACAATACCTACCTACTCTATGCCATTTAGCACGTGTCTCCTCTAATACTTGCAACCCACATGGGGATGTGGCTCGGTAGGAGAGCACCTAGCTAGCAGGGACAAGGTGGTTCAACCCCCAGTCCAACAAAAAACAAAACAATACAGAAACATATAACCACCCAACAAAGTAGTGGTTGTCTGTTTCACAGAGGAAGAATCTTTGATTGGCAGAGGTTAGGTAACGCTGAAAGTCAAATGACTGGTTAGAGGCAGAAGCAGAGTTTGTGCTAAAATCAGTCTTGATTCCTAAGACTCTTTGGATTCTCCAGTGCTGGTTCCACAACACAGGCTCAAGTATGCTACAGAACAGAGAAGAAATTTTAATTCAGCAGGGCAGGGACCCTGGCTGAGATTTACTTAGGGGCAACCTAGGTCTCCTTAGGAAGAGCAAGCTGGTCTGGTTCTGTGAGTCTATTGCAAAATCCTCTGTGCTGAGTCATTGAATCAATGTC